ACTGAAATTTCTATGTAAACCTAAGTATTAGGTTGCATTTTCATAGGACTTGCTAACACTTAAAACTAAAATCTTCATGGAGGCATAATTCATATGTCTCCCGAGGTCTCCCTAATAAATCCCCCAAGATGACACGTTTACAGCCTAAAGTGAAGGCTGAATTTACTTTGACTAATATCAAATGAGAACTTAGTTTGCGTAGACTCCTATGTGTCATGCGTTTGTGATATTTCGATGCTTTTCTGATAGGTTAGTTAAATTTCCATACCGTGGCATAGTTTATTTGAACTGCTCTTTCATCCCCACAGGCCTTTGCTTGTGACCTGTGTCCCAATGTGACAAGGATGAATCCCCAGCGATATCTCCTCCCCATTCCCGGGATAATTGCAGGGTATGGCCATGCCACCTTCACCCTGAGAGAACCTTCTCTCCTTGGCTATCTTGTGCTTTGGGGGTTCAGGCAGAACACAGGGCTCAACGTGAAGAAGCCCACCTTTTCAGTGGGAGCGGTCTGCCCTTCTTTCCTGTCCAGAGCTGGTAAATGAGGGCAGCAGAGGAGTTGTGTCAAATGCTGCAAAATCTAATTACTGCTTGATTTATAGCCGCAGGCACACCATGGCTGAGGACTGAGTTCATTGCCATGAACACACACCAGCTTCATGGTTCAAAGACTGGTCTTGGGCTGCCTGGAGGGCTCTGCTGCCCCTGTGGTTGGTTGCTGCTCTCCTTAGGGAGAGCACTGGGCAGCTCACAGGTCCACAGCCCTGGGCAGCCAGGTGCGGGGTCCCAGCGTGCAGGATGCTGGCGTGGCTGAGGAAATCCTGGGCTTGAGTGTAGAGTTCCTAAGAGGAGCTGGACACACACACACACACACACACACACACACACACACACACACACACACTTAGGCAGCTAAATACACAGTTTCAACAAGTCTGCTCTTCCGAATTTCCTATAGACTGGGAAATTAGACTGTAGTTTCCTTTCCTAAGCAATAAAGCTGGAGGCCCTGCCCTTTTAATTGTTCTTTATTTTTTCTACTGCATGAATCGAGCTTGAGGACCCAAATTCTCCAAAACACACTGTTTTATATGGAGAGTTCCCCGTTTCTGACCCTCCCACTCCCTCCTCAATCACCCGTTAAATGCCCGGGGAGGACTCTGAAGCTCAGTAACGATAGTGCGGCTCCATGGTTCCAAGGCATGTTGGGGTTGACTGCAGGTGTGCCCCTGATTCCTCCACTCACTGGCTGGTGCCTCCAGGAGGGTATGACCTCTCGGTCCATTTCCTCCTCTGTAAAGTGGTGATAATAGTATCTGCATCATGGGAAGGTGCGAGGATTAAATGATGAATGTGTTTTAGTGTGGGACCAGGCACATGGAAAGTATTCGGTAAAGGTTAGCGGTTCTAGCCCTAACCAGTTTGGCTCAGTGAATAGAGCGTCAGCCTGAGGACTCAAGGGTCCCGGGTTCGATTCTGATCAAGGGCATGTACCTTGGTTGTGGGCACATCCCCAGTAGGAGGTGTGCAGGAGGCAGCTGATCGATGTTTCTCTCTCATCGATGTTTCTAACTTTCTATCCCCTCTCCCTTCCTCTCTGTAAAAAAAATCAATGAAATATATATATTTTTAAAAAAGGTTAGTGGTTCTAGGCCATAGCTGAGCGAAAGACTGACCTCATTCTTAGACTGTTTTGTTTTGAGTTGTCCTAGGTCAGTGGTTCTCAACCTTCCAAATGCTGCGACCCTTTAATACAGTTCCTCATGTTGTGGTGACGCCCAACCATAAAATTATTTTCGTTGCTACTTCATAACTGTAATTTTGCTACTGTTATGAATGGTAATGTAAATATCTGATATGCAGGATGTATTTAGGCGACCCCTGTGAAAGGGTCGTTCGACCCCCAAAAGGGTCGCGACCCACAGGTTGAGAACCGCTGTCCTAGGTGGTGTCAATGGGAATAGTTTGCCTCATGGGGACAGGAATTTTATCGCTGATATGTTCTAGAACCGTCTGTATGTCGCTGTGTACAGTTAGTACACCCCCCTGATTAGCTTCAGGGGGGCAGCTCCCACCTGCTTCCCATTTTGAGGCTATGAAATAGCTATTGATACAAGTATTTCATTTAAGAAACTGAGTCTTAATGAAATTAAGTAATTTAATCTAAATTCATATTAACTAATAAGGAATAAAACAGATATTCAACCCCCAGACCAATCGTAATGCCTTTTTAATTCAATATGCTCATTAGCATCTGGGTTTGTAATTGGTTTGGGTTTTTAATATGTTTGGGTTTTTAAAATTTTTTTGAAAAAAATTTTTTTCAACTAAAATGTACTTTCAATAGTATTTTACATTAGTTTTGAGTGTTCAGCATAGTGGTTAGACATTTATGTAATTTATGAAGTGATTCCCCCAATAAGTCTCGTACCCACCTGGCACCATATGTAAGTATTACAATACTAGAGGCCCGATGCATGAAATTCATGCAAGAGTAGGCCTTCCTTCCCCCGGCTGCCCGTACCGGCTTCCCTCCAGCACCTGGCACCCGGGAACCGGGCTTCCATCACAGCCCCAGCTTCATCCGGAAGGTCATCCAGAAGGATGTCCAGTCTGATTAGCATATTATGATTTTATTATTGTAGATTATTCATTATATTCCCTATGCTGTATTTTACAGCCCCATGACTGTTTTGTAACTACCAATTTGTACTTCTTAATCCCTTCACCTTTCTCACCCTGCCCCCAAGCCCCCTCCCCTCTGGCAACCATTCCTTTGTTCTGTATCTATGGGTCTGTTTCTATTTTGTTTGTTCATTTATTTTGTTCTTTAAACTCTACAAATATTGAAATCATAGGGTATTTGTGTGTTTGTTTTTAAGAGTGATATAGAAGCCACTCAGAAAACAATGGCAAGTTGTGTAGTATGTTTAAATAAAATATGTATTTATTTCTTCCAGAAAACTGCTTTATTATAAACATGAGACAAATAAAAGAAAAATAGGTTAGGTGAAAGCTAAAGAGACAAAAATAACTAAAGAAAAGGTGCTTTAAGTAGGTGTTACCAATGGTTAACTGTTTGAAATAAGCTTTCCAAGGACTTACAAATAGAAAAAATATTCTTAGTTCCTGATAAAATATTCTGAATAAAATGGCACACAATCCAATTTTCAAATAAGTAAACTATAACTTCTGTAAATTCATGTAGAATTACATCATCATTTTTTCTTTCTATGTACATAACATACTACATATAAGAGCTCGAAAGGTTCAGAAGAATTTAAAATAAAAATAATTATATTAGGATATCAACTTAGTAATAAAATCATTTTAAAGACTTATAGTAAGACTATATTTATAATATTTTTTTTATATAATATGGGGTGGTTTTTCAAAGAGTGCATGCATTTTGGGGCACCCTATATGTGCACTCACATAACCACCTCTTAAGGATATGGGGAAGCGGGGACGGGCAGCCGGGAGAAGGAAGGCCTACTCTTGCATGAATTTCGTGCATCGGGCCTCTAGTATTGTAATACTTATGTATGGTGCCAGGTGGGTACGAGACTTATTGGGGGGATCACTTCATAAATTACATAAATGTCCCTCCCTCCAGCAATTCTCTTTTGCCACTTTCTAGCCACTTCCCCCTTTTACACCTTAGAAGAAATCATTGTTCTGATTTTTACCACCATAAAGCAGTTTTGTCTGTTTTTAACTTTACCTCAGTGGACTGTACAGTAGTAAATATGCTTCATGCTTTTCCCTTTCATTGAGTATCATGTCGTTGAGATTCATCCTTAGTCTCAGTAGCTCCTTCCTATTGCTAGTAGTAGCCCATGTGTGCATACACCTCAGTTTGTTTATCTGTTCTTCTGTGAATGGATGTTTGGCTTGTTTCCAGGTGGGCATTTGGAATAAAGTCGCTATAAACATTGTTGAACAAGCCTTTGGGGGGACATATGTTTTCCTTTACCTTTGGTGGAATTGCTGGGTCATGGGTAAATGTTTGACTGACTTCAGACTTTCCCATTAGTGGTGTGTGACAATTCCAGTTGTTCTACAGCCTTGCCAACATTTGGTATTGTCTTTTTCTTTTTAGTGATTTGAGTGACTATGAAATAGTGTTGTCTTGTGGTTTAAATTAGTATTTCCTCATGACTAATGGCAGTAAGTGCCTTTTCTATGCTTATAGGTCTTTTGTGTATCTTCTTTTGTGAAGTGTCCACGTTTTTGCCCTTTTTAGAATAGATTGTTCATCTTTTTTATATTGATTTGTAGTTCTTTATTTTTCTGGATAAAAGACCTTTTTCCAGATATATATATTGGATATAGTTTCTTTCGTTTGGTCTTAAAGTGTCATTTGCTGAGCAGAAGTTTTAAATATTTTTAGAGGAAAGTTTGCCATTTTTTTTTTCCTTTACGGTTAGTCTTTTTTCTGATTCTAGGAAATTTATACCTACTGCAAGGTTGCAAAAATTCTCCTTTGTGTTTTTCTAGCTTTATAGTTTAAGGTTTTACTGTTTAGGTCTATGACCTGCCTCAGGTTGATATATTTGGTGTGAAATAGTGGTCACGGTTTACTGTTTTTTCAAATGGATATCCAATTGTCCCATCATTATTTGTTGAAAATACTTTTCATTCTCCATTGAATTGTTTGAGTCCCTTTGTCCAAAATTAGTTATGTATTTGTGGACTCTCTCTTCTGCTTCGCTGATCTGCTTATTCTTATTCACACCACTGTGTTGGAATTTCATTGTCTTCATGAAAGAGCCTCCATCCTTGTCTGGGTGGGGGACACTCTCTTCCCACTGGGGACACAGAGGAGCCACCCTCCAGGTTCCCCGCAGTGGCTCGCATTTCCACGGAGCATGAAACATCGCTAATACACGTCTCTGACATGGAATTTTGCAAGTGAAATGTGTCTTGCATTTGGGTGACTTCAGTATGTTCAGATTTAAAAAGTTTGATGTAATTCATGTCATTTCACTCCAATTTAGGTCCAGGAGTAATGCTGAAAAGAAGTATGTCATTTCACTGCAATTTAAGTCCAGGAATAATGCTGAAAAGAAAAATGTCATTTCACCGCAATTTAGGTCCAGGAATAATGCTGAAAAGAAGTATGTATGAAGGCATGATTGAGCACAAACTAAGAGCAGCCCCAAACTAGTAAGTCAAAATGGATAAGTTAACTGAAATTCCGGTTAATTTCACACAACAGAGACCAACCAACGTTTAATGGAAATGCTTTAGGATTGCTTTTTCTTGGCCACCAGTGGAGTTTTTGTTTCCCCTGCAAAATACATTCTCCCAAACGGTAACACAACACACAGCATATTTGGGGAGGACAGAAATTAACTTATTTTGTAAAAAGAGAAAAAGAGACATAGAAAAAATTCTATCCATTGCTGAAAATAAGGAAATTTTTAGAAAAGTAGTAATTACACGTCAAGAAAAATTTTCCTTCACTGTCCTTCCTCCCTTGGCCTGTCCCTTTGAGGCAGGAGGGTGTGCCCATCTATGCCGGGCCCTGGCTCTCTCACCTGGAACATCTCAGGGAGTTGGAGGGCTAATTCTCATAACTTGGCCACCCATCACTACCAGTGGAGAACAAGGCCTGTATGATTTTCTACTTACTTCACCCAGAGAAGCCAGGATCCACTCCTATGCATGAATGAGCTGTGCCCATTGTAGACAAAATAAAATTAACTAATACTTCCTCCTCCTCCACCACCCCACCCCATCCTCAGGATAAGGGAACACCAGGTACCATCTTTTTAACGCCTGACACTGACTCATATCCCCTATCCAAATTGTGTTGTTGTTCTTAAACAAGAACAAAAACAAATGTGAAAATGGTGTTTACCCTTGGTTGGAAGATGATTGAAACTGTAAAAGCTTCTTTAGTCTATAAAATGGGCAAATGCCACCAAGAAATCAGGTAGGCAGTTTCTCTTGCTGCCCTCTGGACTCCTGTAGCCCTTTGCCACTAACCTGTCAGGTACCTTATGGTATTTATTCCCATTAGAGAACATTCCTGCAATATTAATTTAAAAGCCTTCTATAGTATAATCTAGTGCACAAACCGCTTGTGTAAGCTTGACTCAGACTCTATGATAAAAAGCATTCATCATGTGCCATTCCATGTAAGAGGAATTTCAGCTCTCCTCTTCATCAGAGGACCTGCCTGCAGTGGAATTAAAATAGCTTCTCCCTGAATGGGAGCATTGACTTGGCAAAGATATGAGCAGTCATTCAGGAGGAATGTAATCGAACACTTGAAATTTAAATTCCTTTGTAATCTGACTTTGAAAATAAAGTAAAAGAGAAACCCAAGGAAGTTTCCTTTCAGGTGAACTCCTGTCCTTCAGATCACTTCCACTTTCAAGGCTAATAACATACCCACGACAAAGGTAGTATGTAATGAACCTTATCTTTGCCATGAGCTTATTCCCCCTGATACTCTGATACTTACTGCTTAGAAAAGGTGCCCTACATAGAGGGACCCACCTCTGCAAAAATGTCTTTCAAACATCAGATTTACAAACTGGGCCAGTCACGTTTGGAGGAATAGCTTTTTCCTTTATTGTGTCCATAAAGCATAAATTGTTAAGCCAAGAAACTACCTTAAATAAGTGACACAGATTTTCTTCTTTATTTAGAAACTATTCAGATTTACAAAGGATTCTTTCCCTTCAAATAGCTTCTTTCTCGTTCTTGAAGGACGCAATCTTTTTTCTGTTAAAGTCACTGAGTGGTAAATATTTCCAGGAGGATAACACTTGTTAAACAAAAAAAGGTCCCATAATTGTTGTCACTGCCTTAAATGGGGTTACATAATGAAAAAATATTTCTTTGTTGTAAAAGAAAACAGGGAAAAGGATCTCTCTCACTCTCTCTCTACATGAAAATAGAAACAGGGAATCCAGTACAGAGCAGTAGTCACCATTTATGAAAAACAGCAGTCAAAAGAGAAAAGGTGTGTGTATGTGATTATTTTCAGTAGAAAAAAAAATCTTGGCTTTACACTCAACTGTATAGGTGGACTTGAGCTCAATTTGCTTCAAGGCAGAGTTCTGTTAACAATTCATTTGCATATTTTTTTCTATTGTGGAACGTAAAAATTGATCCCTAGATATATAATAAAATTACCTTTAAAATCTACACATATAAATGGAAATATCTTTCTGACAAAACCATCAAACCATTATCTATTAGTGATACGAAGCTATCATTACAGGTTTTTTAAACTGTGAAAGTAAAAATAGAGCTCATATAGGCAGACAGTGAAAGGTGATGGCTTTACTTTCTTTCAACTCAATTCCTGCTATAGTAGTAACAATCCATAAAGCTTCAGAAACTTGCCAAGGTTCCAGTCAATTTTGAATCATGCTAATGTTTCTAACTTCATATCCAAAGAAATTATTTTCCATTTTCTCCATCACTTAAACTTCCTGGCTTCTTTCCAGACATTCGAACCTGGCCATATCTTCCACGTGTACAAGAATGCCTTTAGATAAAAGGAGAAAATTATCCAAATAACTATGGGAAAGAATATCTAAGCCGTACTTAGCAGTGCAGACTTGCACCAGTGCCAACAGAGGCTTGCTCTAATGTTTAATAATAATCAGCAAATTGACTGATAATCCAGGCTGAACTTTTGGTTCCCACCCTAATGGTTTGATTTATGGCTGAGGGTGATTAGTGCACATCAGTGTCCCGTTAGCTGATGGTGCACTTACTAGCAAGTTAACAAAGCTAAGCTGTACCATGTAGACGGGCTGTAGGACAGATCCAATGACGAGGGCATGTCAGGCAGCCTGAACCTCCAAGCCGGAGACTTTAGAGGGGCTACTCATGAAAAACTTACCCCCCGTAGTTTTTCCCATGGGTGGGGAAAATACAGAGTTTTAATAAGCAACTTATGTTCAATGTTAGGAGAAAAATTAAACAACTCAGACAAGTCAACCATGCAGAGACAAGAACTATTCCATTGTGGCCTTGCCCCTAGATATTTTCTCCATATGTATACACAGAGATGTCTGTATATGTACACAGAGAGATCATTTTAACAGCAATGGCATCATACATTGATTTATGACTTTCACTTAATATGTCAGCTACATTTCCATTTAATAAATATTATTTCATAATACATATCACTTTTGAAGAACTGCATAACGTAACATTAATGTTTATGTATACAGCATCATTTATGTCAGCATGTTGGCTATTCTTGAAGAAGTTTTTCATTTTCTGTTTTTGCTCTAGAAAGTATGCTGTGATAAATCCCCTTGCTTCTATATTTTTTGCGCATATCCTCTAATATTTGGAATTAATATTTGTCCATGATCCCAACTAGTTCCTTAGGATATTTTCCCAAAGCGAATGGCCAGGGTTAAAGGCATACACATCTGTAAAATTTTCAAGAACATTTTGCAAATTGCCCCAGCAAGAAAGTTGTGCTTGTTTAAGTCTCAGAAATTCTGGATGTTATTAACAAACTCTTACCAGTATAACATGTCCCATCTGGATTGTGCTCAGGGCATGATGGTTGTGTTTATACTATATATTTCTTTTTCTGGGTCAGAAAAAGGTCAGAAAAGGGGATCGTTTTTCTAATAGCCTGAGTATCATTTGGCCAGGATATTTTAATTTTGTCATCAGCCAAGCAGGAAGAACTTAGATAATGTCTGCAAAATGCTGGGCACTCCCTAAATGCTTTCTTTATATAGTAAATCATTTCTTTGTCCTCATGTTACAGATGAGAAAATTCAAGCGAAGAGAAGTTAAGTAATGTACCCAAAGTTTGCAGCTGGAAAGTAGCTAGGTTAGGATAAAATATAATGGGGTAGAAGATGAGAAGTATTGTTCTAGCAACATAATTTCTTCTAAGGACTATCATTCAGGATATAACCTTGGAAGTTGCTGTACGACCTATTTTTAAGACATTGAAAGCGTCAGAAAGGCCCAAGATGAATTTCATAACAAATTACGTTCTTGTAGTTGCATATTTGTTTAGATAAAAGTCTAATCTTTCAAAGTTTGTAACGTTGAAACACAGTGATGAACGTTCATGCCATGCATACTTGTAGTTCTTCCATGAAGCTTTTGCTTAAAATAGCAGCATGCATTACTCATGGGAGAGTATATGCCTTGATGTTGGACAACAGTGTAGAGATGCATTCAAGAACTAGTGCTGATGAGAAACAGAACCATTAAATTATAGGAAAATTTACTTAACTGAAATTTGAAGACGTTCCGCTTTGAGAGACAAAGCTGAAATTTAGGACATTCATCCACTTATTGTCATTTAAAGTTTTATAGGAATGGTCCTATGGTCAGTAGAGAGAGGGTCTCATCCTAGGTTCTTTCGATAGTACAGAGATTATTGATGAGGTAAACAGGCTCACATCCTAGAAGATTCCTGTAGGTGTCTGAAAAAACATGATATGATTTGAGAACAGAAGGGAAGCTAATAAGCTCAGAACTACTTCTGCAACCTAATTCATAGGTCTTATTAATCATTACATCTAATTATTATTACACCTAATTATTATTAGGTTATCATATCTAATTATTACTGACACATTTATTTAATAATAACAATTACTATGCCCAAAGGGTAAGTAATTTTTGGTTTGTAGAAACAAACATTGTTAAAGATGGCTTTTGTTAGCAGCATTCTCTTTTTAATCCTCACCCGAGGAATATGTTTTACTGATTGTAGAGAGAGGGGAAAGGAGAGAGAGAAACATTGATGTATGAGAGAAACATTGATTGGTTGCCTCGCATACTCGCCCCCACTGGAAATTGAACCCGCATGTGCCCTGACTGGGAATCAAACCTGAGACCTCCCCATATATGGGACAATGCCCCAACCCACTGAGCCACACTGGCCAGAGCAGCAACATTAATTTTTATCTGCCAGAATGCCCGTTCATTTGGACATGTGTGTTCTGATACCAACAGGTACTTGCACTTGTATGAAATGTCCATGTGTGTCCTACCTCATCAGCTCATGAATGAACCCATGTTTGACCTATAGATCCGTATAAATGTAAATGAAAGGAAGGTGGGAGTTTTTATTTCTAGAGAATGTAAAAGTCATTTTATTATGCAATGCTTACATTTGTGTGCAGTGAGGGATTTAAAAAATTCCCTGTAAT